TTTGTATACCTTCTTGATGATGGTGCGTTAATGTCCGGGAAAGATGGTGGGAGCTCATTGGATGTATCTGTTCTTAATTAGAGCCAGATGAGGTCTGTACAATGCTAGCATTAATGATTCTTCCCTTGGGACCGACGATGCGCCTGGCGGCTTGATCATGAAATCATCGTGCGTGTGTGTTCTCTCCTCTTTTTCAGAAGCTGAGCTTCAAAGCTAGTTCATTTCTCATGGGGTTGCGCTCTCGCATTTGGCTACTGACCGACTAGTCGGCAGACGGCAGTTCAATCGGTTCTCCGTACTTCCTCTCTTATCCCCAACGCTTCTTCAAGTATGCCGTGCGAGTGTCGATTGGTGTAATGTCTCATCTTTCACACATGTTGTGGCTTATAACGATCGGTACTAATTAGTAATTGCATCTTCAATCGTTTCTCTTCTTACGTTTCTAGGGTGCGTACCTGCACGCGTGCGCCTCATCCGATCAACCTATTAAACTTCTCTCTCTCTCTCTCTCTCTCTCTCTCTCTCTCTCTCTCTCTCTCTCTCTCTCTCTCTCTCTCTCTCTCTCTCTCTCTNTCTCTCTCTCTCTCTCTCTCTCTCTCTCTCTCTCTCTCTCTCTCTCTCTCTCTCTCTCTCTCTCTCTCTCTCTCTCTGTGTCTCTGTCTGTCTCTTTCTGTCTGTCAATCTCTCTCTGTCTCTCTCTCTCTTTCTTTGGTTTGATGAATCTGGTCCTGGTCACATCTTATATGCTTGTCAATGTTGGTCTATGGATCTTGAAAGGAATGTCTGATTTTGCTCAGCAGATTCATGCAGAACTGTGGAGAAAGACGAACGCCTAAGCGAATCTCTCTCTCTCTGGCGCGCAACGACCGATCTAATTCAATACTGCAAGTTATAAAAAGACAAAAAAAAAGAAAAAGAAAAAGAAACAGAAAAAGAAAAAAAAAAGAAAAAGAAACAGAAAAAGAAAAAGAAAAAAAAAAGAAAAAGAAAAAGAAAAAGAAACAGGACCTTATGGTCTGGGTGCGTATCGATTTTCTGGGGACCGTGATTTACTAATTTCGGTTTCTTTTTCATCGGCAAGTAATACGAATGTACAAGTATGAAGCATGAAAAAACGTTTCCTGCCGCTGAAGCCGCAGGACGTCCGTAGGGGAAGAGCACTAATTACTCCATATCTAACTCAAAGTGAATAGATAGCGTGTCCTGCAATTGTTATTGCATCTGGTAATTGAAAATATTCTAATTGTTGGCTCAGATAAGTGTAGCATCGGTTCTGATCAGTTTAATATCTTATCCGACGTCAATTAAGTAAAAAAAATAATAAAAATATATATATATATATTTTTTTTTTATTTGACAAGATAATGAAATGTATAAACCTCATCGATAAACACAGAGGCCTCTGTGTTTTTGGAAATGTGACCCTTCAGAATCTATTGCAGGGCCGTACACAGATCTCCATGATTCCGTAAACGTAACCCTTCACAGAATCAATACAAGGGGGGAACGCAGAGGGCTCTGCGATTCCGTACATGTAACTGGAAATTGCTAAAGTACCCCTTTATAAATGTTTGATGGCAAATATACCCTTACAACACAAACAGTGGGGGCAAGGTGTAATGTTATTAAAAAAAAAAAAGTGTGTTTTTGTGATCAGAAAAGGTATTGCTACCGCGATAAATGTTTGATAACAAATATACCTTTATAACATAAACAGTGGGGGCAAGGTGTAATGTTATTAAAAAAAAAAAAAAAAAAGGGTGTTTTTGTGATCAGAAAAGGGTATTGCTACCGCGAAAGCAGGCGGTTGCAGCGATCTCACGTGTACGGCTTTCATGTGCGAACAGCTCAACCCTTGGAACGTACTACCGCTCCACGTGGCAGCGAGGAGTCAACAGTGCAATGTGTTAATTAAACATTTTCAATTTGTTTTTTTTTTTTTTTTTGGTCGATTTTTAGTCCGGGTAATTTGTACATGGATGGTTTAACGCTCTACTGAGACTTAATAGTTTTTTTTTTTTTTTTTTTTTTTTTTTTTTTGGTTTACGCACGCTCAATAGTGGCCTTTAAGTGACCTAAAAGCTGAGACTCTATCATGATCGTTGAAGAGCGAAGGAGGATACATGGCGCGTAGTGGTTGAGGGGCATTTCTGCAAATGAAAGCTTGTTGCGAGGGTATATTTACCAGGAAAGATTGAATAATGGGTATTTCTGCAATTCCACTTAAATTTAAGAACGGCTAATTTCTGCTATAATTGTTCCCTCTAAAATATAGCCCTTTAGAACCAATACAAAGGCGGCGCACACAGAGGGCTCTGCGATTCCGTACATACAAATTGAAATTGCAGAAATTTGAAATACCCCTTTCAAAATGTCTAATAGCAAATATACCTTCACAACAAAGAAGGTGGGGGAAAATACTAAAATAGCCTAAAAGATGGATTCTTGCGATAAAAAAAGGGTATTTACCAAAAAAAAAGGAAAAAAAAAAGGGTATTTACTTACGCCATGAAAGCAGGGTATTGCTGCGAGCGGTGAAAGTCTGTTGTGCGAATATATATACAAGGAACGATTAAAAGAAGGGTTATTTCTGCAATTCCCCTAAATGTCACCCTTCAGAATCGCTACATGGGCGGCACACATAATTGGGAAATCACAGCCGTTAAAATTGGAGCGGTACAGAGAAAGAGAAGATTAGCATGGCTCCTGCGCAGGGATGATACCTTTGCGTAAATCTAGAAATGGTCCTCCCCCCCCTCCCCCCCCCAACCCTAAAAAAAAGAAGTGGTTCCTTCGTCGGGATACTCTATAAGATTGAATGAACAGAGAGAAGATTACCGTAGACGGCTGCGGGATGAAACGCACAAATAAAACAATAGTGGAAATTACAAAAAAAAAACAAACGTGGACTCTATATCACTAATGACGTGGCGGAATGATAAAACAGAAGCATACAATGAACTTGACGCAAGAAGCGACACCTTTTTACTATTTCAGAAAAACGTCCAAATTTTCCAAAAAGAAAAGGAAAAACGAGGATTCGATCACTCAGATCACTCGTCAAGACTTTTTTTTTTTTTTTTTTTTTTCATCAAGACTCAGATCCGGGTATTTGATTAAGACACTTTTTTTTCGTTTTCCTGCTGCTGGCCAACTTTTTCGTGTCCTGATTCGTGGAGATCTTTATATTTTCTGTAGAATCTGTATTTGTCGCTGAGGTGTTCCTTTTTGTCCCTTTTTGTCCCTTTTTGTCCCTTTTTTGTCCCTTTTTGTCCGTGTGCTCTGATGCAAAGCTTACAGTGTTTCTGGTTGTGGTTTTGGATCAGGGGTCAATACCGAGTCATAAAGTGTGAAAAGTGTGATCATCAAGAGTAGAAGCGTTCGAGATGGCCAGCAAATCGATGCACTCTGGAAAGCGACGAAACTAGAGAAGAGGCCAAACTGGCGACCGCACCCTCCACTTCACTTCAACGTACAAGTGCTCAGCAGAGAGGCGCCGTTTTTGTTGCCGCCGTCTCTTTCAATCACCCTCACCAATCCGATCCACCCCCCCCTTCCTCTCTCTCTCTCTCTCTCTCTCCACGCCCTCCGCTGTGGTTCATTCTCTTTCCTGATTCCTCTATCCTGGAAACCGCGGCCTCCATTTCGCTTCAACGTAAAACTGCTCTGCAGAGAGGCGTTTCGACGCCGCCGGCCCTTTCAATCACCCTCTCCTCTCTCTCTCTCTCTCTCTCTCTCTCTCTCTCTCTCTCTCTCTCTCTCTCTCTCTCTCTCTCTGTGTGAGACAATGACGGGAAAATTGGCGGTTTCCTCCCCGAACCAGAACGTGAATGAAAGAGTTAGTAGGTCTCTCAACCGGTCTCCAGTCACTTCCCTCTCTATTTTTGCCGCCATTCGACTTGGGTGACATTCGTGCCCTATTCTGATCTAACCGTTGCTGCAATCGTGCGGTCCTCAGGACCGTGCTCCGACAGGTGACCGCTCCTTGTCTGCCTGCTGAGTACTCCCTGCCTGTCTTGCCCGTTGGGAACCAAGTTAAACACTTAACCAAGTACTAACCATGGAGACAGAAGACGTAGAAACGGATCACTGCAAGTCGTCGGAACAGGTGGAGAAATTTTTGTCATCTTATATCTACCACTACACGGACCGATCAATCCCGAATGACGCCGCTGGTAACGTCGGCTTCGCTCGCGTGGGGACCGAATTGCAGTCTAATTCTCGCTGCTTGATGCGAGCCCCTTACTTGGCAAAAAATCCGGAGATATTTTGCGGAAGCATACCTGAGCAGTACTTTTGTCCTCTCTGTCAGCGACTGATGCTCGACGCAATTGTCTTGAATCCTTGCAAACACGAGTTTTGTGCTAGCTGTGTTCAGAAGAGAGTCATGTCTAGAAGAAGTCCGAATTGCCCATTGGGCAAGTGCCGTAAGTATTGTGTAAGGGGTGAAGAGACCCTGCCGTCGATTGAGGTGCGAAAGTTCCTATGGCGGTCATTAGTGAAATGCCCGTTCTCTTTGACTTTCGATCCATCTTCTGCGGGATTTAAACCCGCGTCTTACCGTTTCGTTCCTATGGGAGCGACGAACCCTTCGGTGTCCACTGGCGATGTCGAGAATCAGGAGCAGGACGATCAATCTTCAACGGGATTGGAACCCGCG